TCTATGCTGTGCAGCTGGCCTGACGAATTCTGAACACAGGAGGTCGGCCACTTGGCATGGGTCCCATTCATCTGAATGAATGCAAAGCGTTCTCTGATTGGATGAGGTGGAGAGGCAGGGTGGTGTTAGCAGGAGTTCCCTGAGACCTGAAAGTTTTTTTTTTTTTTTTTAAAGGCTTCCTCCAATTGAAAAAGATTGATAACTACTTAGAGCTTTGGACTGGTTCATCCAAAACTATTTTAGTTGATTTGAATATTTACATTTTTGGAAGATGCTTTAGAGTTTCACCACCTGCAAATATCCTATGCTTTATAGACCATGTTCATACTAGCTGTTAGGGGGTGGTAAAACCGTGCAGTTGAGCCATGCAGGAATTATACACCATGTCACCTTCGGCAAGCGCTAGTGAATAGAGCTGCTCTGCAATCACTTCCAAATTACAGTATGTTCATTGCATATGCTAGCGGTCCGCTAGTGTGGAAAGTTCCCGAGTGGGACATCTGCGTTTGGGTTGCTGGGTCTGCTGTGGCCCTTATGAAGGGGGTCCCACTCCTGCTACTGAATTTTTAATTTTATATTAAGTAGAATGAGATATATGCTGGGGCATGCAAAAGTAGACAAGAAGAGAATTAGGAATATTGGTAAGAAGATCCTGCTGTTGCAATATCCAAGACAAAGAAGAAATCATGGGCTGTCAAAGCTCCCAATCTTTAATTTTAATTACAAAATATAACTTTTTGGTGAACTGGCTCTTTAATCATTTATAGCACAAATATTTAGACTCTCCCCTACCCTAGTTAGGCTGATTTAGCAGCAATTAAAATGGTTTTCTGTGTTCAGGAAAAGCAAGAAAACCGCATGTGGTTTAATGTAAGCTTGGTGACAGATTTCCTTTTAAAGCAAGACTATATAGTATAGCTTTGTAGTTCTCCTGTTACCAGAACAAAGAAACAAAACTTCAAAAGCATTTATAGTTTTGTCTAAAGTCGTGTTTCCCAGGAAACCGCGGATCTCATTTATGAAAGTGCCTAAAGGAGTAACTGCCTGTGTTGCCTAAAGGAATGAATGGTCTTCTGCCTTTCATTTTCAAAGCTGCAGTGGAAGACTGCCTTGTCTTGTAATCTCTTTGCGGAAGGTAACACAGAAGCAACGGTACCCTCTTCATACAAAGGGATCATGTATGGTATATTTGTGTTTGTATACAAAGCAAGTGCATAGTTTTACTAAAAGATAAATGATACTAAACATATACTGTAGATTCTTTTTAAACTACAGAATGCGGGCTCTCAAAGTTGTGCAATTAAAGTGATCTGGGTAAATATTAAATGTATACTGGATTCTGGTATGACACACTGAGATTTTGCAACATTATGTGTGTTTTGTTTAACCACTTCGCCTCTCAAGCCTGTTCAACCCTATTATGGACCAGAGCAATTTTTACATTTCTGCTATGTACTTGTTTTTTTGGCAATACATTTTTGGCCATTGGCTGTCGCTGCTGTGAGTCAGAGCTACTCTGTCTGTATGGACGCAGGCAGCACGGCTCATGATCAAGCCTGCAGGTGTGCCATGATGGCAAGATCAAGAAAAGGAGGAGCCAGGAGAACCGAGAAGAGGAGGATAGGGGCTGCTCTGTGCAAAATCTCTGCACAGAGCAGGTAAGTATGACATATTTGGGGGGGGGGGGATGCTGAGGGGGGGAGCTGAACACCTTAGGTTTTTTACCTTCATGCATAGAATGCATGCAGGTAAAAAATATCTTCAACCTTTACAACCACTTTGAGTTGATTTATGCATATCAAAAAAGCTCAACAGATATGGTGTAAATAAGCCCTAACAGACGTTTAAAAAGACAACAGCTCCAGTACTTAGTATTTTCTGAAATCCAAAATCTCTTAATTTCTATTTTAAAACGCTATACATTTATCACATGACATACACCTCTTGAAGCTGATTAAAAACAAGGGTTGTTTTTCTAAAATGATACTGGGGTTATGCTATATGACCAGTTCAGATGTTAAAGGACTCGAAATTGGAGTGCTACTGATTTTGCATCTTTTCAGCCCTTGCCAAAATCAATACACAGGATCATATTAAGAACCATTTGCAGCAATATATACAGATTTTTATTATTATGACCAAAAGATATAACTGACATCTGAAGCTTTTATATTACAGCTTTATTAGTAATTTTCTCAGCAGTGGGTTTGATGTTTATGTGTTTACAGCTGTGCATTTTCTGAATAATGATGTGACCTTTTCTACTGCCTTCTGTCTACATTTTCTAGACTCTCAAGAATGAATCTGGCCGAGATGTGCGACAATGCTAAAAAGGGCAGAGAATATGCGCTTCTTGGAAATTATGACTCATCCATGGTTTATTACCAGGGAGTAATCCAGCAAATTCAAAAACACTTCCAGAGTATTAGGGATCCAGTAGTGAAGACCAAATGGCAGCAAGTGAGTACTCTGATTGATTGTGTGCAGTGCTGTGTTGTTACACTGTATTATCAAAGTCTGCTATTCAGTGTGTTTTTCAACACTGAGGCTTATTTGAAACAAGGTAAAATGGCATTGAGACCCAAAGCAACCACTGAGGTTTAAGTTAATGTATTTTACACTGGCATAGGGTAGCATGGTGATTTAGTGGTTAGCACTTACGTCTTACAGCACTGGGGGTCCTTGGTTTAAATCTAGTCTAGGACAATATCTGCATGGAATTTGCTGATAGATTATATGGCCCAGGCCAAGCAATTGGGGAGGGTTGAGGAGAGACTTTGTAACCTACCTTGTATAAAAAAAATTACCAAAACATTAATCAAAGGCTTTCAAGCATATCAGAGGTGGTGCCCGGGGAGTTGGTTACAACTGAAGGATTTATGCATACATACACTAAAATACACTGATGTATATTTATTTGCTGTGGTCTGAATTATCAGGATTAGTACAATTGGTAGGCAATATTCATTAAAAAGTGCAAAAAAAAAGTGAACCCTTCAACCCTTTTTTTTTTTTTTTCATATCCGTTTTGCAGCTGTAAGGAGTACCTCAACATTTGTCTAATTCAAATCTCATTTTTTTCCCAAGACATTTTAAAAGGTGCAGTGTTTATTCCGACAGACACATGAAGCTCAATTGGTCATATAGAGTTAGGCCCCATGCACCCTTGCAAATGGGGCCCTCTATGATGAACTGCGGGAGCTAATCGCATGAACTCCCTCTGTATCTCCCGCAGCTCATCGCAAAGGGCCCCATTTCCAAGTGTGAATGGGGCCTAACTACTGACTCATTTCTTGGCTTAGTGCATGTTCCTGGGATGGCAGTATTCAGTATGCCCAGGCATGTTACACAAGCAGCATTTGAGAGGACAGGGAGCAGCATACCACTTCCACTGGCACTAGATAGGCTTGGCAATGAGAACTTTGGTCAGATGCAAGATGTGGTATTTATTTGTATTTGCAGAATTGATAAAGAAGGATGGATGGCTGATTTGTAAATATGACTTTTTTGTTTTTAAAAGAGAAGTTTGGAGGGGAAAAAAACAAACATACATACTCACCTGGATGGCTGCAACATCCTCCATCCACATGAGATCGCATCATCTATCCACATAAGCTAGATGGATAGAGGACTTCTTAAACCATTCCCACCATTTGTACATTCTGACAGTGTCGCCTGCTGTTGTCAGAATATACTGATTAGCGGCTGCAGCCAGTGGTCGACAAAAGTTTTCCTGCATTTCTGTTTGACAGAAGTTGCTCTGTCGAACAGGGAGGATCACACACAGATCATAATTTGGCCTGTCCCTGCTGAACTGGGCGAATTTCGATCTCTCTATGCCCAGCATTACTTTTAGCCATGCACACTTGTACAGGCTGCTTTACTATAAGGCAAATGTTTACTTTTTCAGTGTGATCAGAAGCAAATCCGATAGAGCCCACCACATTTCCTGGATGGAGAAATCTAGTACTTTGCACCCCAGCCTTACTGTACCTGGTCTGCCCCCTTTAGTCATTGGATTTGAGTTCTTTCAATCAGGGAGGTTCGGCATTATGTGTCAGAGTTGCCAAGGGTGATCTGCATGCAAATTCAGTCCACCCGGTCCCCCCCAGTCGTCCAGATTGACATCCAACCACTCATTTAAGGCATTATGAATATATTGCCAAACTGCTCCCAAGAACCAGCCCACTGCTTGCATGTGCTAGGATGTTATCAGAAACTGTACATCATCCTGTGAACCCCCTTTCCGTCATCAGCCATGACCAGCCTGCATTACATAGGGAAGCATAGAGACCTCTTGCTGACAGCACTGGATCCCTTCATATGTAAGTTGGATGTAAGTAAATCAGGGACTGCCTGTAATGAAAACTGAAAGGTTTTGTTGAAAACTGTCATTAGCATGTTGATCAGGGGGGAAATGAAGTAGTAGAGATTAAACTGATTAAACTTCAGCTTTAATCTGATTCTGTCTGCCATGATTATGTTAACATTTGTCTTAGACTTTTTTTTATTTAGAAAACCATTTTCAAAGCTATTTGTCCAGTGAAACTACATGTGCATTTGTTCTGTATAAGTGGGGGCAAGGTCAAATGTTACTAGGCCATTTTTTCTTCTCTGTGTGGATTAGGAATATACTGCATTATGGCCAATAGACAGAGCTGATAATAGGAAATGGATACTTAATTACTATGATAGTCGGTGCCATCTAGTGGCTATAATGTGGTATTATCCTGATTTCACATATTTGACCTGTAGAGAAAAAACCTAATAACATTAAGTATTTTTTACCCATTTACAGAATTAATGCACATGCAGTTTCACAGGATGAATTGCTCTTCTTCTTCTTCTTTTTTTTTTTTTTTTTTTACCACCTCCCGCCTGCTATATAGTAATATGACGGGCGCAAGGTGGTTCTCTCGTTCTGGGAGGACGTCATATGATGTCCTCCCACTCTCACTGTGCATGCGCGGCTCAGGGAGCGCGCAGCGTGGCAATCGGCGGTGCGCTGCGTCCCTCGGACACAGCGGATCACTGATCACGGAAAGAGCTGAAGATGTCGGCTCGGTCATGTGATCAGCTGTGTCCAATCACAGCTGATCACATGTAAACCGGGAAATGCCGATTATCGGCATTTCTCTCCTTTCGAGCTGTCACGCTGACAGCTCGAGAGGAGAGGAGAGCCGGTAATCGGCTTTCTGCGGAGGGTACATGTACACTGATCATCAGGGCACTGATGATCAGTGTGCCCTGATGATCAGTGTAGCCCCAGCAGTGCCACCTGTCAGTGTCCATCAGTGCCTTATGTCAGTGCCTCGTGCCAGTGCCACATATCAGTGCCTTGCAGTGCACATCAATGCCACATATCAGTGCCCATCTGAGCTGCCTTTCAGTGTCACCCATCAGTGCCAGTCAGTGCTGCCTGTCAGTGCCATGTATCAGTGCTGCCTTTCAGTGCCCATCAGTGATGCCTGTCAATGCCCATCAGTGCCTCCTCATCAGTGCCACCTATCAGTGTCCGTCAGTGCAGCCTGTCAATGCCCATCACTGCAGCCTCATTAGCGCACATCCGTGAAGGAGAAAAATCACTTATTTACAAAATTTTATAACAAAAACTAAGAAAAAAACTTTTTTTCTTTTTTTTTTTTTTTTAGTTTTCAGTGGTTTTTGGTTTGTTTAAGAAAAAATCAAAAACCCAGAGGTGATTAAATACCACCAAAAGAAAGCTCTATCTGTCACAAAAAAATGATAAATATTTCATATGGGTACAGTGTTGTTTGACCGCGCAATTGTCAATCAAAGTGTGACAGCACTGAAAGCTGGAAATTGGCCTGGACAGGAAGGGGGTAGAAGTGCCCTGTAGGCTAGTGGTTAAATACACCCCTTGCACTCCTTCAGTCATTTTCATTTGCAAGTAATTTTCTAAATGTAAAAATTCCAGTGCAGTAATCCTAAGACTGTTACATCAAATATATCACTGCCATTAAGTTCCCCTAATTTGACTCGCAATTTGGGAGCAACTCAATTCAATTTTGAATATTGCATTAATCTTTTTTTTTTTTTTTTTTTCCCTTTTTTTTAAATCTAGTTTTCCTTGAGGCCTCGTTCAGACGTGTAGCAGCCATTGGTTGACAGGTGGCTGGGAGGCAATAGTGTATGTTGCCTCCTTAGTCTGTTTTAAGCCTAAAGACTGAAGCACCATGCTGCGACCGTGTGTAATTATTGTGGTGTGGTTGCAAAACAGTTGCAGCTCAGCCACATTCACTTGAATAGGTTGCGTTCGGGGGGGGCTTAACTTTTGCTACAGCTACCAAGTACATTATCATGGCTGTAGCTTGTGTTTTAGCATTGAGTTGCTTCATATCCTTCTTTAGGTGGTCAGTTGGGCGGGTGGCTGGACTGCCTCCTATTACCTCACCGCCACCCCAGCTGCCAGTGTGACAGAGCCCTTATATTGTACCTTGCTGTTGTCTGTTTGGCAGCATTTTCAGTAATGCCTTGTTCAGCAAGCAGGCACTGAGAGAACACTGATAAGAAATTAAAAGAACATGTTTGTAATGTTTTGTGTTTTTCTTATTGCAGGTGTGCCAAGAGTTAGTGGAAGAGTATGAACAAGTGAAAACTATTGTAAATACTTTAGAATCTTTTAAAATTGAAAAACCTGCAGATTTCCCTGTTGCTTTACAAGATGAACCGGCGAGAGACCCTGCAGTCTGGCCTCCACCAGTGCCAGCGGAACACAGGTGTGTATGTGTGTTTGTGTATATAATGGTACTGGGGACATCTGTTTTGCTGCCTTTTAACATTTGCATCCTGGAGAAAATTATGTACAAACTCAAAACCTGCTCTTTAAAACTGTTTTCTCAGATTTTTCACAGAGTACTCAGGCTTTTCTGGTGCATCCTCTTCTGGAGTAAATTATGTATGCTGACTGACTGGGATTACCCAGACAGGGTTTTTGTTCCACCAAAGAGATTTTCTGTTTTATACCCCATGGAACAAAAGTTTTTTTAAGAAATGGGGGTTGCCTGTAGTGGACGCAGCTGTTCCATTTCTGAATAAACCTTTAACATGTCCTGTGGATAATGTCCTGGTTTTCAAGGACCCACCGGATAAGAAGCTGGAATCTCTCCTTAAGGCCTCCTTCTCCTTGGCAGGTTCTGCTGCACAGGCAGCTGTGGCAGCTATTGGCATTTGCCAGAGTTTCTGACCGTATCAAGCAGCAGATTGGAAGCCCATTGGTGCAGGGGAAATGCTTTGCCAAGGATTTGGAGGATGTTCCGCGTGCTTTGTGTTTCCCAGTTTATGCTCTTAAGGATTCAATTCGGCAAATTTCTTGCTTGGCCCTCTTATTAGTGCACATGCACAGGGTTTTGTGGCTGAAGAGTTGGTCCGCAGAACTGCCATGCAAAAAATTGTTGGCAGGTTTTCCCTTTCATGCGGGATGGCTGCTTGGGGAAGATTTGGACAAATAAAACCAAAAGATTTCAGGGGGTAAAAGTACTCTTCTACCATCTAAGAAGAAATAAAAAACACCCTTCTTTTAAGATGTCAGGGACTTTGGTTGCTGGGCTTTCATCTACCAGGCAGTATTTTTTTATCTAAGACAGATCCAAAGTCTGCCTCTTTATGAAGGGGCACCCTCACTTGTTTGGGTGAGGGGAAGGCTTTTGAATTTTGTGGCTGCATGGAAAGCCCTAATCCAAGACAAATGGTAATTTCCATGATTTCTCTGGGGTAAAAACTAGAATTTCAGGTATTTCCTTCTCCCCGGTTTCTAAGATCAAATGCACCAATGAATCCAGAGAAAAGAAGAGCTTTATTTCAGGCACTCGATTGTCTATTGGCTCAAGGAGTAATCACAGAGGTTCAGGTTTCAGAAGTTTTATTCAAACCTGTTTACAGTCCCAAAACCAAATGGGGATGTAAGGCCCATTTTGGACCTCAAGGGGCTAAATCCATTCCTAAATGTTTGATCCTTTTGTATAGAATCGGTTCAGTCAGTAGTGGCCTCCTTACAGGAGGGAGATTATTTTAGCGTAAATAGACATCAGGGATGCATACCTGCATGCTCCAAAAATATTAATTCCTCACCAAAAATTTCTGCAGTTTGCAGTAGGGGCTCAGCATTTCTAGTTCCTAGCACTACCGTTTGGGCTGGCCATGGCTCCCACAATTTTCACAAAAATTCTTGCTCCGGTGTTGGGGCTACTCAGAACTCGAGGAGTGTTGGTCACAGGTTATCTATACGATCTCTTGCTCAGAAATCAGTCGGTGACAGATCTGAAACAGGATGTGATCCTTACGATGCAGATCCTGGAACAGTTGGGCTGGGTGCTCAACCTCAAGAAGTCGGCCCAGGAACCAGTGCAGAGCCTGGAGTATTTGGGGATGGTCCTAGACACTGTTCAGGCAAAGGTATTTCTGCCCCCTGGGAAATGTTGCACCCTGAGGAACGAGGTTTGCAGTTTGAAGGCAAAGAGGTATCTTTCAATTCGCATCTGTATGAGGTTGCTGGGGAAGATGGTGGCCTCGTTCGAAGCTATTCCCTATGCTCAATTCCACTCCATTCTGGAGTTACATTCTGTCTGTTTGGAACAAAAAGAGATATGCAGTAATCTAGGGCCGGAATCTGTCTCCAGAAGTGCGGCAGAGCCTGAATTGGTGGTTGATAACTCACAATTTGGAGAAGGGAAGATCCTTGCAGCCAGTGGTGTGGAAGTTGGTAATCACCGATGCAAGCCTTTCAGGTTGGGGGGCAGTTCTGGAGGAGGCTACATTTCCGGGAACATGGCTTCCACGGAAAGGGTTCTTCCCATCAATTTCCTGGAACTTCGAGCAGTGAGGCTGGCTCTGAGGTATTGGACATCCAAGCTTCAGGGTTGGGTTGTAAGGATTCAGTCCGACAATACCACAGCAGTTGGGCGGTACCAGGAGTTGAGGTGCTCAGAAGGAGGTGAACTACATTCTGACCTAGGCAGAGTGATATGTTCCAAGTCTGTCAGTAGTGTTCATTCCAGGTGTGGGAAAATTGGCAGGTGGATTATTTCAGTTGCTGTCAGTTGATTCCATGGGCTTTGCATCTTGATGTTTTCAAGGATGGGGTTGCCCGGATGTAGATCTATTGGCATCCAGGTTCAACAACAAGGTCTGTGTTTTTGTGTCCAGGGTAAGGAACCCTTGCGCAACAGGTCCGCACTTTTTTACGTATGCGTATGGCTCCTCCTGTCAGGTTGCCTTTTGTGTCATTGGGACCTGAACTTGGTTTTGGAGGTTTTGCAAAGCAACCATTTAACCTATTGGAGAGATTCCACTGGTCCTGTTGACTTGTAAGGTGGTGTTTCTAGTGGCAATCACTTCTTCAAGAATGGTGTTGAAGCTGGCAGCTCTGTCTTGTAGAGAACCATTTCTGATTTTGCATCATGATAAGGTGTGTTGTGACCTCATCCGTGCAGAAGGTGGTTTCTGGTTTTCATCTCAATCAGGGCATAGTTCTGCCTTCATTCTTTCCAAGCCTTCGTCCGCAAGAGAAATATCTCTGTATACCTTGGAGGTGGTATGTGCTGTAACTGTCTTCTTGAAGGCGACAGCACAGGTCAGGAGGTCAGATGCTAGAGGGGCCTAGGAAGGGGCAGGTGGCATCCAAGGCGACTATTTCTCATTGGATCCGCCAGTTAATAATTCAAGCCTATGGTTCGAAAGGACAAGGTCCCACTTTTTGCGGATGAGAGTACACTCCACCAGGAGTGTGGGTACATCTTGAGCTACCCACCATCAGGTGCTAGTTGCACAATTTTGCAGGGCAACTACATGGTCTTAAATTCATACATTCACAAAGTTTTACCAAGTGGATGTCAGAGTCAGAGGATTCAGCCTTTGGCTGCAGAGTGTCACGTTCAGCTGAGTAGGACCTTTGGGATTGATGGTGGTTGTTAATATGGTGTCACCCAGCCCTTCCCCCCTCCACTGCCATATTTGGCACTTTTTGTATGACAAATAGTTGACCTGGATGCTGCCTGTCCATCCTGGGCCCTTCTGGCCGCACAAACCAGGATTCCTGATCTGTGCCACCAACCAAGTCTTTCCCCTGCCGCTTGTGCACTAGGAAAAAAGAAAGGCAAGACACTGTCCTGATGCAAGTGAAAAGTAGAAACCACTCTAAGCAAGAACAATGAATAAGGATGCAACATCACCTTATCATGATGCAACACGAAGAACGGCTTCTTACATGAAATGGCCGCCAGCTCTGACTCTCTTCTTGCCAAAGTGATGGTAACCAAAGAAGCCACTTTTTGTGTCAAAGGACCAACAAAGTCTCTCAAATTGGTTCAAAAGGTTGCTTCAGCAAGGACAGCCAAGACTATACAAGTACAAATCAAGGAGTGAAAAACAGTGGTCTCTTTGGGGGAAAAATGTATAGAGCCAAAATCTGACCCCTAACGGTACTTAAGGCCAATTCCATTTCCCCTCCCAAGAAAAAAGGACAGGAA